TCGGCAGTCCAGGGGAATGTCAAGCTTCCAAGCAACCTGACCTGCCCAATTTGCGGTGTATCTGTGCTCTAAAAGCATTCTCTCCTTTTAAGTGCTCTTTTTGATACCGTGTTTCAGAAACCCGTGCTCATCCCTTTGAGCCAGATTTCCTTCGTCCCCCTGGGTCTCTGTGGCTACAGTCCTGCCTCATCACAGCACATTGCGGTTTGCAGGTGAAAGAAACAGATGTTTTCTGGGGAACACTTTCCTCGCACAACAAGACCCAAACCACCAAGCACTCTGTACCTGAAATAGCTGCACTCATAAGAAGGCAATCTAACCTGACACTGAAAGGCAATGTGGTTGTTTGCCTGGTTTGATTGGATCTTAAAAGCTTTTTCGGCCCTTGTTGATCTTTAAATGCCTGCAGTCAGAGGTGTGCTTTGTGCTAATGCCCGAGTTTAAAAAAGAGGCCTCAGAGTAGCTCAGGGCGATGCCGCTGAATTAGGAGTACATTGCAAGGCTTTTCAGCTATATCTGCTGCTAAAATACACTTCATTTCAGTCATGCATAATTGATACTCTCAGTGCCACCAAACCTTCCAGCCGTACACACACAGGTTCTGGTTCAGGCATGGAACCTTCACTGCATCAGGAAATACCTGTGTGGCTGTAATTCTGGTAGGGCACTGCCAGCATATTTAACTTGAGCCCAGTTCTAAGCAGACAAACAAGAAAACAGCACTGCAGCGTGGCTGGATGAGGACACTCTCCACGTGCAGGGTCACCCTCCTTGTCACCTGGCAAGAGCCATGAAAGGGTTCCTCTGGCTCCCATTGCACTCTGCCCCAAATGCCAAGACGCTTTGCACTAAAGACAGAAAACAGCCTGGAAAAGTGACTCACCTGCTCCTCAAGCCTTAAGACAAGGCTCAAATCGAGTCCTCTTTAGGACTGCACACGTTTACTGGCCACCTGTCTGTCAACTGACAAGAATGTACCAGGGCATTATTTCCAAACAGACCAGTTGTGTTCAAACCAAAGAGAACTCGACTGCTCTTTATGTCAGCAGTGGGCAATGCCAAGCACCTGGAAAGGAAATCCCAACGATGCTCTGCCTCAGCCCCCTTGGAGTGCTGGGGACAATCACCCACAGTCCTGACCCTGCATGTGACCACTTGCACCCAAGACCTGTTACTATGTGATGGCCTCATTAATATCATTGCTTATCACTGCTTATCTATTTAGATATAAATAAAATACATGTGCATAAATAGATATACATGTGTATATAAAATATAAAACATACACATTTTTTTAACCTTGAATAGTTTCTTATTAATAAAACCCAATAAAGAGTAATGGAATAACAACAGCAGAATAAATATTTCAACAACAGATTAAGTTTCTGAATCATTACATTAAAGCAAACTGACAATTAACAAACTCATCTGAGCCATGTGGGAGTCTCAGCTGCTTTGGGCACTGAAGGCTATAAACAATTCCAGTTACCTCCCATTATATTCTACCTCGCTGAAAAAAAAAAAGGAGCTCAAAATAATGCAACAAATGTACAACTGAAAGCACCTACTTCTGCATTTAAAATGTATACACAAAGCCAAAGTACAGTAGTGCACATTCCCCTGGGACACTGCTGAAGTGTTCCTGGTGATTCCAAGGAGATGAAGACCCTGCTGCTCGGTGTGGGTCTCATGGGATCAGAAGGGCAGCTGGTGGCACATGGGAAGTTCACAGGAGCAAGCAGGGGAGATCAGCTTTTCCAAGAGGAGATCACTACTATTATTTAAATTCTACACTATTTTCTGCTGTTGGTCTGTTTTAGTTTCAGCTCCAGAAAGAGAGTTGTCTTGAGATGTAGTTCATTCCTCATAGTTAACTTGTTTGATTAAAGCTTTTTTTTTTTATTTCTACCTTTCTTAGAATTTTCAGCATCCAAAAAATTTAATATTTCTCCTTTCCTAGAAATGAATCCATCTCCACCAACACACAGAAATGTTACCTGCACTTCTAGAAGACAAACTCTGCATCCTTAGCCATAAGGATGCCCAAATGGTGTTTACAGTAAATTAAAGAACTGGCAGTAAGTAGGAAAGAAAAGCATTTTCCTCTTAATTCCCCTGAAAATGGCAATCTTAGGAAAATGATCGGGACCCTCTTGTTAGCACACAAAACCAGCCTCCCCTGACACTGTAACCAACCCCCTCTGCAAGGCTGTGAAGTGCAGTCCCATCTCAGCCTCTGTTATTGAAAAAACGTGGGGTTCTCGGTCAGGATCTGTCTGACAGCCACTGGATTCTGTCTGATGAAGGTTTCCAAGTTATCTGCTTGTACTTTTCCTGCAGGACTCCAAACACACACTGCAATGGTTCAGGGAGTAATAAACTATTTAGAGTACAGTGCCATATAATCTCATCTGACCCAAGAGACAACACTGCAAGCACTCTCTCTTGGCCCTATAAAAACCTAATAAATTTGGTGAAACACATAAATGACATTCCACCCCAGGCAGATCTCTTTCAGTTCTATAATGCTTCGACAGTGATCTTTAATTGTTTCATCAATGCCTTGCCTTTAGTGAATGATCTGCAGCTCCCCTGCATACAATAAATACCATTTACACATCTTTTAGAGGCCTTAAAAATGGGGATTTATTTTGAAATATTTCATTATTATTTTATTGCCATCGATTATACTGCCTTCTGCCTCTCCAAGCTGAATTTTCTGAACTGGAAGGTTATTTTTGCTGCTGTGCAGCCTCCCCCTGAGGTAGTAATGCCTTACCCCAACTTCCCTCCAGAAAGCAATCTGTACTAGGAGGTTTTCTAAAGAAGCAGATCTTTCATCTGTTTGTGCCAACAGGAACCAGGAGTAGCCAGCTGGCACTTTCCAGGAGACTTCCCCTGCTTCTGGTTTGAAGGCAGGTTGCCACATCAGTGCAAGCTGCGGTCCTCAACAACTGTTAATTCACACCAATATCCAGTCCCTGCAGGGGCTGGATGGATGCCTGAGCACATGGATAATCCATCTCCAGAGGAACTGTAAAGTCAGCTTGCTCAGAAAACAGAGCAACAGATTCAGCCTGGTTCTAAGTAAGAAATCAACCTGGGATGGAAGTCACTGTGCAAAGGGAAATCCTGGGATGTGGAACTGGATCAGAAAATGGAAATCCAAAGGGGGAGCTTTGGCCCTCACTGCAGCAGCTCACGCAGCCAGAGCACCCTGTGCTGACCTGAGCACAGCTGGTGGCTCTGGGTACAGGCTGGCCCGGGGAACCTCTCACTGCTCTTTTCATCCTTGCTCTCTATGAATGTGGATCAGCAGATCCACATCTGAGCTGGCTCGTTACAGTCAGCCCAAAGCAGTCAGAGGAACTCGGGTCTGTCTCTGAAATAGCCACACTGGTGGAGTTTAAAACATAAAGGTTGAGAAAGGACACGGCTAATATCAAAACAATCATCTGCTGGGTAAACATCGGGGAAAGAGAGGAATAAATTAAGCAGAAGGATTCAAGAACAAATTGTTGTAAACTGGCAACAAATAAATGTACTCTGAGAATTAGGAAAAGAGTTCTAATACTTTAGAAAATGAGCTGGTGGAACTGCTCTCTTGGTGGAGGAAGGCAGAACACATCCCTGCTGTCACATGGAGCACCATCTGCTTATGAAAGGGATCATTATGAAAGGGGCTGCATGCTTGGACAGTGGAAAACATTCCAGTCCTGTGTTCCTTTACCTGTCAGCAATGTCCTCACACCTCTTCACATTAATGATGAGAGACAACTCCAGCCTCACATGCGTGACTGTGCACTCACCACTTCTGGAAGTGAGGAGTTTCTACCCCACCCATTTGGTGAATATGGAATGCAAGAGCCAAACTTCACTAACTGCACACACATTTATATAAGTGTTGCTTAAGGTTTGCTTCCTTTGATTCCTGCCTGGATGGTCAGTGCACAGAGAACCACAAAGCCTGAAAGAGGCACCTAGAGAGAAGCCAAATTGGAGTGCGCTTAGGATTACAACCATTTCCAGGAGTAGGCTTCAAAGTAGATCCATTTCAACATTTGAAAATAACCATAAACTATTTTTTATCTATTGTTTTGCACTAGCAGGACTCTCTCAGAGCACTAACAGATGATCACCAAAGGAACTGGCTTAGAGTTTAAAAGCATCCAACCAGCTCAGACTGCCTTGCAAGGAACAACTGACAAAATCCTTTTCGGTGCCCTGCTTTGCCTTCTCAGACAGCTTATGAATAATCTGAGGAGAAGCCCTCTGAAGCTCCAGAATTTTTCACGCTCCCCTCCCAATATCCCACTTTCTTCACTTAAAAGACAGTGGGTACCTACAGGGAGAGCAAGCTTTACTTTTCTCTAAAGCATGATCATAAATTGCAGCAGTCCCCCAAAGCAAAAGACTTAGTGCTAACCCTGTAAAAATGGAAATTTGACTCAGAACAGTTAAAATAAGCTTTGGGTGATGTGAAGTCCCGGTTCTTGCTCCGAGGAATAGAAGGGTGGCATATTAATCTTACACTATGGCAGTACTGTAGGATTTCAAAAACCGAAATGATATATGCAGGGAAATGAGGAATTTCCACTAGGGACTCTAATTCATATATTATGGGAGAGATTAAAGAATAATAAATTTTGGAAGGAAGTATTAATGGCTAGATGGGGCACCGCGAACCTGGCATTCCCTGAAGCCTGGAACTTTGTATACCAAACACTAAAAATGATTTGTGCAGGACCAGAAAACATTAGCTGTTATTCTGACCATGACCAGTTACATACTGTATGAGGTAAGAAGTCCTTTATAATTTAGAACTTCCTTTATAATTTAGAGATTAATAGATAGGATAATATTTGCCATTATGTCAAGTGGCAAGCACGTCTGGGAAGAAGAAAGGAGCACTTAGGATACTTCCCTTGCTCTTAGAGGAAGGCTGACCACAATGGGCCTGCAGATCATTAGTGATGCTGCCTTCACATGCAGCAGCTCTCAGCCCAAGCTCTTCCCAAACACAGGCAGGGAAGGTAAAGTGCTCCCAGCACAGCAAATGTCAGAGCTCTGCCCTGGGTCTGCAGCTCCTCAAACCCTGCCCTTCTCCTGGATCTCTCATCCTTCCTGGTGTTGACACTGGCACCCTTTGACTTGCAGGCTGAAGCTTGTGTTTTAGCCTTCACCTTTCTCTGGAGATCAAGTTTTTGGCATGAGAAATAAAAATGTCACTTCAAAGCAAGTTAAAGGTGAAAAAAAATTCCTGCTTCTTAACGAAATGAATTAGGAAATACCATCTATCCATATATTTTCCACAGAGTTATTCCCACTGTGCCAGGAAGTCACCTGGTGAACTGCTCTGGGGAGACAGAAAGGTGTGAGGCAGCAGCCAGCTCCCTGTTCACAGAATCAGCACAGAGATATCCTTGCAGCTGTGTGGCCTCAGGAAGTGATCCTTCAAAAGGAGGCATGAAAGGTTTGCTGGGGAGTGATGGGAGAGCCCATTGCCCATCTGAGCAGAGCTCTTGCTTCTACCGGTCTTGCACCTGCAATTGGGGCATTTTTTGGATGCAAAGAGTAAGAGATCCGCAGAAGGAGAGGCTGGGTGAAAACACACACTGAAATTTCCCAAATCAGCCAGAAAGCTCTCCTGGTGCATGTCCCAGTGTGTGTCTCTACACAGACTCCCTGAGGTGCTGCATGTGCCATGGGATACTGGGGTAACCTGACTTACTTTTCTGAACGCTGTTGTAAATGGTTGCACAAAATCCAGTGTAAATACCAGAGTACAAGCTGCCCCTGAGGAGCTTTAACTTATGCACTATCCCATAAAACTTCCAGGTAGGGAAATGAGTAAAAGGTCTCAGTGCTTTCTTACTCCATAAGCCTCTGTGGTGAAGTATTCTGCACTGAATGTTTCCATTGTTCCACACAGATGGGGGAAAGAAGATTAGCCTGAGATGGAATATCCCATCTTCTCACACAGTGTGTTCTCTGGCCAGCTTAAGCTTGCTGCTTTGGCAGAATTCGGAGCTCTCAGAAGACAGTGATTTTTTGAAGGCTGACAAAGTGAAGTTTGGCAAAAACACACGCATTCCATTCCACCCCCTAGCCCTCAGGTGTTATATGTAGGGCTAATGTTCTGCCAGAGCATAAAACAACAGCACATCAGAGCCTGTTCTGCCAAACAGCTGAATCGTGGCTTTGAACTGTTGCTTTTCTTTTGACAGTATTAGTGACTCGGTCCCTCATTTCTCCTCTAACGACTCAGTGCAACAGGCAACTGCAGATATGTTTCAAAGCTCGCAAGTGCCATGTGGCACACAGAATGATTAACTGCAGCCATCACTCTGGAATCTTTTAAGGAGGCAAAACACAGCTTTGAGAAAATGGATGCAAAGCACTCCCTAATGTGGTCTGACACAGAGGGTAACCCTGCAAAACATAACCCTCGACCCCAAAGCCAGGAGTTAAAACGTTGGTGGCTGAAGTCCCAGGCAGAGCAAGTGGTGTGGAAAGCCCTGAAGGCAGCACAGCCCGTGTAACTGCGGCACGGGAGAGTGGGAGGGTCCAGGAACTGTGGGGATGGTCTGTGCTCTGCAAAGCCACGTCTCAGGAGAGCTGCACACGCCTCAGCAGGTGGGGAGATGGAAGATCCTACACCAGCTGGAAATCCCCTTCCCATGGAGTGCACACAGGGGCACCTTCAGCCGAAGCCATGCCCTTCTTCCACCCCACAACCCACAGGAAGCTTTGGCTGACACGTGGTCAAATGGCCGTGGGGGAGGTGAAGAAGATACCGGCAGCAAAGTGATGATGGTGAAAGCTGCTGTAGCAACTGCCAGCATAGTACTGGGAGTAAAAGATGGTGCTGGGAAAGCAGGCCCCAGCTGAGGTGTGGAGGGAGAAGAATGAGGCAGGGCTGGCTCATGATCCTTCATCCCCAGCGGTAACTGCCTTCTCAAGCTGTGAGGTGAGGTTTCAAAGTTACACAGAAGCACTGCTACTGCAGGATTCAAAGCCTTGATAGCTTCTGCTACTTCTTTCTTTGCAAAACAGCCCAGGAAATTACGAGCAAAATCCTCTCTCTCAATTGCCTGTTACCTGGATTACGAACTAAAGCACTGAATGCTCCTGCTGGGTGTGTGGTTTCTCAGGCAGAACTGGGCCCTTTGTCAGCAGCTCAGTGTGATGGCAGAGACCACAGACTGTCCCTTGCTATAGGAACACAGGGAAGTGTTTCTGTCCAACTCCTGCCTCATTCACATAAACCTGTTAAAATAGTCACCCTAATTTAGGTTCTGAAGACAAGATGCCAAAGCATTTACAAAGGCTTGGTATGTAATATATGATAGAATGCACCAGATAAATTTCCTCTGGTACTTTTAGATGACTTCTGGGAATCAGAAATTAATTCTGCCTACTCAGTATAAATATAACCTAAATATAACATAACTGCACCTCACCCAATCTATAAAGTAATGCATGTTTTCTTATTTGCTGAGTATCTTTTTTCAGTGAAAAGCCAGAGTCTCTCATCACACAACCTAACTAAATGCAGAAATCAATCCTGAAGATCATGTGTCTACTTTGTTGCAAGTGTGGGCAGAATTTTACAGGGAGACACAAATAATGAGTAATCATGTTAACCTGGATGCTGGAATGAATACCTTGGACAGAAGAGTTTTTAGATGATCTCCACAACACTAAAGTTTCAGCAAACCTCCTTACAATGTACGTAACACTCCTCATTTCCAAATGTAACCCTCAAGGAACACATACATAAATTATGATATAGCCACTGGGAAAACCTCAGAAATACTACAAAAAATGGGAGAAATGCATTTTAGGGGGCACTCTGCTCAACTGTCTGCTTTTAAATACAATTTCATATCAGGAATAATTAATGGCTTCACTGTGGTTAGTACTCAGATATTATAAAGAGAAAAAAAAACCAAAACAATTTCTACATGCTTTCATTACTCTGTAGAGAAAGGACAGGATTATAATTTGAAATGTCTGGTGTGCTTTTTCTCTTACAGATTTTGATTAAAGTATCTGTGCCTTGAATTCTAAGGAGGTTGACCAATGTAAGGATAACATGCAAACCTCTAATTCCACCATATTCACATACTGCTCATTTACCACAATAATCAAGCTAAGATGTCCAAGGAAGATTAACATACCACTAAGGTAAACAGTGTTGTCTCCTCTGGAATATCACATTAAATGTTACAAAAGCAGGACACATTCTGCACTCCATTGTAAGGGCTGGGGGATCACAGGAAAAAGAGCTATGTCTTGTCCAGAAAAAACCTCAGGTCTAATACTTCTATAATAAAACTGATCCAAGTAAATGTAACTGTTGGTATTTCCCTGAACCACACACCTACAGACACCGGAGCGCTCCTCACCACAGCCACATGGCACTCAGACATGAGATGCCCCCGCTGTGCATCCCTCCTTTCCTGGCACCAGGGCTGCCTGTCCAACCCTGGCAGTTTTAAGCAGCCCGGGGAGAGCACAGCCTCCAGGCAAGGCAAGCCCCACAGCCTGGGTCCTCTCCAAACCACAGAAATGCAAGTGGCCAGAGACCAAAACTGTTTTTCAATGTTCTTCTCGATTTCCCTGCTTTTACCTCTGAGAGATTATCCCTTGGCCAACTCTCGTTTGGCTGCTGTGTTTGATGGATCTAATCATGAGGACACTGGGAAGGTACATCACAGTCATTTTCTTCCCGAGTCAATTCTTTGGCTCTGGTCAGAACCTGCTCGCAAATACAACAACAGCTCCTGCCACTTTGGAGCAGATTCTCTGTAAGAATGGGAGACTGCAGCCTCCAGCAAAGCAATCGATTCCCCGCCACAGTGGAGGTGTTCAGTGGGTTCAGTGAGTCCCTGTCAGGGATCAGCTGTGCAGCACTCACCTCGGGGAGGTCGCAGCTCCGTGATGTTCTCGGTGGCTTCGTCGTCCGAATCGTCCGTCGCCACCACCTTGTACCTCTTGCTGCTCTGTTTGTTCAGCACGTGCGGGACCTGCAGCGCAGCCTCTCTCTCTGCAGCGAGGTCCAGGTCCTGCTGAGCAAGGTGGGCCCTCAGCTGCCTGATTTCAAACTAGAGCGAAAAACAACACCACGTACTGATGTCACATGAGCATGGCCAGGAGTTTATATTCTACAGTTGGGGACCTCTTACTCATTTGATCACTAAACTACTACAGTCTGGTGAAACAAATACAATGTGGTTGAGTCAGGACAGGAGCCCAAGCTGCTGGTGCCCCCCCAGAGCCCATGTGAGCGGGACCATTGCTCATACAATCTAAAGGTAAGGACTGTCTCTTGCTGGTCTTCTATTTTGTACGGCGACATCCTGAAGAAAAGATTTTGGCCCGTTTTTAACAAATCTAACTGCCCAATCAAATGTAACCTTTATATAAAAAGACCACTCTTAACAGGGATTTAGGTTCACGACAAATACCCCTAACGCACTAGACTTGGTAATGAGGGTTTCAGAGGAGGGGAGGTTCTCTGAGCAGCACCCAGAATGGTCCTCTCTCAGACAAGAAGAAGGAACACCTCAGTCCTCTTCTGTCTTGAATTCTTCTGTACTCAAAAGTGTGCAGGAAACCCTGGGGAAGGTTACCACTTTTCTGGCCACTCCTCTCAAATATGTGAGCCACGGCAGTTAAACACTTTCTGCAACCAGGATGGGATTTGCCTCATGACTGGTGTTAGGAAGCAGACACCTGACAAAAAGACAGAAGGTACCAGGTACCATCTGACCGACAGACACGGCACAAACAACCACACATCTTCCACCAGGCAAGAAGGAAAACAATTTTTCTGCAGAGATGAAAGCACTACAAAATCCCCTCTGCCATGCAGCACAGCTATCGGGATGCAAGGCAGAGTTTCTCTTTTCTAAACTCTTTTTAAGATCGGTAGTACAGCAGTGATCAAATCACGTGCAATTATAGAGAGTCTGAGAGGGAAAAGCCGATGAGGCAAGTAACAGGCTCAGGCATTCAAAACCCAGCATTGCTGGGCCTTTCCTAGTCCAGGGCCTGGGGGTCCTTCACCGAGCACGATGCTGTGTCGAGCCTCGCTGCACCTGCCACTGCACATTCACAGCACAGACGGGATCAGCACCTCCGTGCCTGAAAACTGGTGTGCAACAGCATGTAGGCTAAATGAGCCTGCTTCTGGCTCTCGCCTCTCAGATGCCGACTCAAATCTACTCTGCTGTCAGATTTTGGAACCCATCAGCAGACCCAGCCTGTTCCACCGCGCTCAGACAGGGTGCAGAGCACCGGCAGCTCCTCCAAGCTGTGTAAGCAACTACAGGGGAAACAAGACAGAGTTTCCACAGATTTTGGAAAGAAAAAGGGATTCCAGTTTGCCACACCTGGAGACTATCTGCTTTCCAAAGCATACAGGAAGAAACTACAACTGGAAGGCCCTCTGCAGGACACAAATCTAAAAAGCAAAGGGGCAGTTCAGACTTTCCAGGTCACATTCAAACTTCCTAATATAGGGATCTAACAAAGCACACAGCTTCTCCTCTGTCTTTAAATCTGGGGACAGAAGCCTGGCAGCTGCAAACAGCTGGCTGCATGGAATGCTCACTGCTCTTAATCAAAGGTCTGCAGTGGCAGTCAGGAGTCAGGTGGAATCAGCAAATGTCAAAACACAGCCCTGACACTTGATTTCCTGCAATGAAACCTCCACAGCAGGTCCCTGCTGGTGGGTTTGTGTTAACCTGTTAGCTAGGAGGAATTAGCAAACTGGCACTGCTAACTCTGTTCCCAGCCAGCCCAAAGCTCCCTGAGGATTGACGTACTTGTGCCGTACCCAGAAGTGCCAGTGTGGACACAGGGAATTTCAGGTTTTATCCTTGACTTGAAAAAAAAAATAAGGAATGACAAAAGAGCTTACATTCCACTTCTGAAGGGAAAAAGATACCCCTTCAGACACTCCTTTGGTCTAATAGAAATAATGCACTTAAATATGAGAGGCAAAAAATACATCTGGAGATTTTTTCTTTATGCTGCCCAGCTCAAACCAAAAGGCAGTAAGAATTAGGGATCATTTCTGGTTTTCTACATTTCACGCTTCATCCTTCAGAAACATTCCTGTGTGTCAGAAAAAGAAATATTGCTATTAAAATGCTTAATTCTGGCCTGTAGGCAGGATACGATTTCCTATTTTCATGGAAGACAAAAAAAAATTGGCAGGTATTTTTTAACACCATTGGACAGAACCAGCCAGGAGTCAGCTCAGCAACTATTTCTGCACGACACCCAATTTAAGGAGCTTAAGCATTTAGAAAGATTGGCTGAAGATGGTAACAATCAAAAGCTTGGAGGGCATCACTGCGTTATAGAGATGTGAAAGGGAAGCACCTCAGGAGATTTTTCCCGTTACTGGGAGCCTTCAGCAGGAGCTGGGGAGAGAGCAGACTCCTCCTGCCCACTCGCATGTCCCAGTGGATAAAGCCAGCACTTTCCAAACATCCACATGTTATTTCCAATCCTTAAACTCTCCGTGCCGGGTGCCCAGGCAGTTTTTATGAGCGGTTTTATTGTTTATCGCGGCTCTGCTCAAACCTCCCTCCGTGAGGGGCCGCGGGGCCCGTGAGGGGCCGCGGGGCGGGCTCTGCTGCCCCCTGGCGAGGGCGGCGGGAACCGCCCGGCCCGCGCGGCCTGAGGGAGCCACGGCACGGCACGGACACCACAGGGACACCACGGGGACATCACAGGGACACCACAGGGACACCACGGGGACATCACAGGGACACCACGGGGACAGGGACACCGCCCTGGCAGGGACACCACCCTGACAGTGACACTGAGACCGGGCACTAACGTCACACTGTCAGTGACATTGGAAACTGAGGGACTAATGTCACCCTGTCACCCACACTGGGACTGGGCACTGCTGTCACACTGTCAGTGACACTGGCACCCAGGCTGGAAAACGTACCCACTAGTGTCACACTGTCACAGTCACTGGAAGCTGGGCTGGATCCCTTGGCATTAATGTCACACCCTGTCGCGGACACTGGGACCCGGCCCTTGGCTGATGCGCTGCTGAGGGTGAGAGGTGCACGCAGCACTTGCAACTTTTTAAGTGGTCCGTGATCCCTCCGTTCCTGAGCTGCAAACATAACCCATGTGCTTGTCTCCTTTTCAGTTCTTAACACTGAGCTGTTTCAGCTGGTCTCGAATCCAGAATTGAACAGGAGACTTTCAGAAGCAGATAGGAGGATCGAATTCCTGGGCACAATAAAGCAGCCCAGCGCTCCGGACTTTGGCATCAAGTGCAAGGTAACAGCACACAGATGTTCCAAGGTAACAGTAGAGACTGATGTTGCCTACAAACCCACGCAGCTGCAGCTGATTAACACAGGCTTTCCCTTCCACTTTTCCATTACCTCAGATGCTGAGCTTCCAGATCCCATTCATGTTTGCCCTGAAGTCTATGTGGTCATTAAAACAGTGGAAAGCTGGAATTAAATAGTTGTGTGTGTAACTGTCATTTTTTTTCTCATTGACAGAGAAGAGAGTAATCATTGTAGCAATGGTGGTGTCTCACTCTCACACTGACTGTTCCTGCTGCAAAGTGCTCCATACAACATGTTGCACAGAGATGCAGAACCCTGACTGTGTTACAGACACACAGCTCTTGCCTGTTCAAAAACTGACTCTGTGGGGTAGGAAATCATCATTTACCACAAAGACTGATTTAATAAAACGAAAGGACATTCAATAAACAGGAAACAGATTTTTGTTCATAAAAGGCACAGCTCCACTTAGGACATCAGTTCGATATTAATTGTTTCTTGACGATTATCCCAAGGTCTTGCAGAAGCTGGAATACACTTTTAGCCACTAAAACCAAACCCCTACAAACAAAGGTTAAATCTAAAGGGGTGTTTCTTATGGGTGAAATGCAATGAGAGGCTGCATGAGCAAATTAGGTTGTAGGTGCTTATATCTAGTGAACATTATATTGAACACTGACCTCAGACAGTTCTAATGTGTAAAAGAGCTAATGAGATTGCTCTGACTGCGTGTCAGGCAGTCCAGGGCAGCTTAAATCAATCAGCAAAAGGTATAAAATATAACAGTCTTTTTAAGTAAAAAAATTCTGGGCCAAGTCAAACACATGAAATTTCTATTTGCAGTAGGAGCTGATGTAGCTCTCTGAGTGTACACCTGGACCCCTCCAAGATCGAGTCCTGCAGGAGAGCTGGACTCAGGAAACTGTGGTTCCTCTTTTCAGGTAGACAGACCATCCCTCTCTCAGCCTGTAAGGCAGGATGCATATTATGCATATCATGAGGGGGAAAAAAAAAGGGGGGGGGGGGGGAAAGGCATATAAACATATATATATGCTTAGATTTATTTGCATTAAAACTTAATAATAGATACCAGCTCTGTGTAAGAACCTTGTAAGTCTCACAGAGTGCCAGTGAGCAAAAAATGCTATTGTGTGGAAGATCAAGGAGACTAAAGTAAATCACCTCCTGACTCGTAATAATTACAAACACAGCCCACTTGAGGCTACTATTGACTATCAGGACACCCATGATATTCAGCATCTTTAACTACATATACTTTGGTGGGTATTTCTCTGTAAGTTCCAACATACTTTGCAATGGAAAAAAATATATTTGAAAACTTCACAGAATCACAGCTGAAATGGACCCGTGAGGGTCATCTAGTCCAGCACCCTGCTAAGAGCCAGTCCATTTAGCTCAGGCTGACAAAAGATTGTCCTCTCAAATTCTGAGTATCATCTCCAAGGCCGTCTCATAGAAGAATGAATAACCAGACTGTCAGACATGAAGAGGAAGTTCATCAATGGTAAATCCAACATACCATTTTCAAAACCTGCTACATGTCATTTTGTAGTACAAATCTGGCAATATTTTGTCAGGAAACAAACCAGAAAGAATGATGGGCGTTCCTGTGCACTTCCTCACTCCAATAATCCATTAGTGATTATTTCTAAGCAGGTAAATTGACAGACCTACCCAGAGCTCCAGATAATATCTCAGTTTACATATCTGGTTTTATAAAGTGTGCCACCCATCCTATCAGATATTTCACAGCACGCATGGAAGAGTCAGAAAGGGACTTAGCAGTGAATCATACAGTACTTCCCTTTAATGGTCCAGCAACAGAGTATGATTGACATAGTTTCAGAGAGATCAATGAACATTTTAGCCAGAAGCTTACTTGTGTCTAATGCAGGAGCAATAACTTTGCTCAATTCTATTAGTGCTGTCTGTACAGAATGCCCTGCCCTAAAACTCATCTGCCACTGGGATACAATCCAATGTTTATTTCCATTAGTTTAGCCATTGTTGGTAACAATAAAAATCAGGAGACAGTTGCAAACTAATGATTTACGGGCAGAATGAAACACGGGATGACCTTGGCTGCCTTCCATCCACCAAGAAAATGACTGGTAGTTAGAAATAAATTAAAATTATTGCAAAAGGATAGCATAAGTTATTTCTCCGATAGGTAATTTTACCAGCTAAACAGCCCTGTCATTAAACTAGCAGCTGTTGTACAAATTATATTCCAAGATAAAAAAAGAAATTACAGCTTCCATAGTTGTTGCAGCTTTAAGAATGATGAAAAACCCAATTCTATAGGAGTCGACAGAAAAGGAGCTCTTGTGATAAGGCTGAACAGAGAGTTTTGGCTGGACTGGACTCACATGAATTACTCTTATGAAAGTTAAGCAGAAAAGATCAAGTAAGTAGATCTATTACCAGAAATTAAATTCCTTTACAGGTGATTCCAGAGGAAAAAAATAATCTTCCCTGACTGGGATTTGTAGTTAGTGAAACTTTGGAACTTTGCTTTGCAATTTAAGTTACTCTGATAAAACAAAACCATATACTCCATGCATAATTTTTGATAGTGACTGCAGTGAGACCTCTTTTCCTTTTACCTTTACCCATTTGTAGACAATCCTTCTTACTGTGGTTGTTAATGTTTCCCATATTTTGTGATCTCCTGTACAGCTTTTCAGTATTTTTTGCCTTGACTGCCCTCATGCTCCACTCCTGTTTAACGACCTCTTTTTTGGCCAATGGAGAACAAATAAAACAGCAAACTATTGAAACAGTTGCAGTGGGGTACTACAGAGAACAAAGTGGTGGTCCGTGCAACTGTAATTTATAAAAGATATTCTGGTTTTCAGATGTACGGCCAGCCAAAAATCCACATCTGGAAAGAGTTTTCACATTTGCAAAAGTACATCTCCAGTGTCAGTCAGGAATGGAAATGTACTTATAGTTGTGATACCCTGTCACTGGTCAAAATATACAACTGACAAAAGAAAGGGAATTCAAAAAGACGAGGGGAGGTTGCATCTTTCCCGCTTTTTCCACGAACAAGCACTCCTTTAAAAAGGTCAGGAAAGATGATCAAACGAGAAAGCAAAAACCTGGCAGAATTCTGGACATTAAATACCATTAGGAGCCATTTCTCCCATCAGATGCTGTACACAATATTAATGGGAATATTATAATGCTGACAACCTGTTCTTGACTGAATTATGGAGCTAATGATTTACAAATAGAGGATGCAGGACCTGTGTCAGTGTCTACTGCTGCTAACTGTAGCTAATCAGTACATTTACCTGATATTACACAGCTCAGGCATTTGTTTGGCAGCAAGTCAGGCCAGGAAGAAGGATTAGTGCTGTCATTTTTCTATACAGCATATTTTTCCATAGCTGATGACACTTGAAAGCTACAAGAGAACCTGCCCTGTTTTCTCAGATTTACTCCTCTCCCACTGCAGTATTTCTTTGTGTTTAATGTACAGGTTGTTGTAACCATCAGAGCTCGGATTAGGGCTGCTCTGCCCAGACATTTGTTACCAAGAGAACTGCAGTTTTGCCACTGAAGATGCTTACATAGCTGGAAGTAACTAATTTTTGGCAATTTAGTCAAGCCTAAGGTTTAGAAATTTGTTATGCTTAATGTGAGAGACTCAAAAATGATACAGTGTCAACCAGTCTTCCTAACTGGTTACACAGACAGGGCAACTCAGCACCACACCAAGAGTTCATTGCAGAGTCCAAGGCTGAGATCCAGACCTCGAACTAAATCTAAAGAGACAGTTGGGGACCTGAATACTGATTGATGGTTTGACAAGAACTTTAGGGTTCCTCTGTAAAAGATGGGCACTTTAATCTCTGCTTCAGATGATGCCCCTTTTTGGGCAGTTGGGTCCGTTCTGGGACAAGATGCTTCTCCTGTCTGCACAGACCCTTCAACTTTTTGACTGACTGAGCCGTTCAGACTTACAGGTCTCCCCATTTCATATTTGAAAGGCACCCCTACCACAAGCCAGGAGTGGGAGTTGAAGCTAGAAATCTCCAGGATTTATTTGGACATCTATCCCGCAGTTACAACTGAAACAAGAAGTAAATCACCTGGGGGCTCGTTGTGTTGTGGTTTGATGGTCACCTGAACGCTGAGCCTCCACATCCCTCCCTGGCTCCTACTTTAACACAAGTTAGTCAAGCACTCATTTGCATGAGACAAACTGCAACAGCTCCTGGCTCACTGCCCAAACGATGGCTTTACACCTTTTTCATGTAAATATATTCATTTGAGTTATTTTAAGCTTCACCTTTCCTTACCTCGTAACTGAATCACTGAACATTTGGGGGTCTGGGAAGAATCTTAAATCTTGACTTGCTTCCAGGAACTAGAAGCTTCTCTTGCAACATTTTGAGCTTGCCAAGAGTCTCTGCCTGACCTACAGGGAAGCTGCCTTCTGCATTTAAAACAGGGAGATTCATTAGTTTTTAACTGCATATGCTTTTCCCAGGAATACAGCCTTAATGCAGCTGCAGTCTCCACCAGTGGCAGTGCCTTTTGCATGTTCTCAGTACTGTGTCAAGCCAGTTGGACTCACTCAATAAATTACACACTGGAACCGTTCATTTTTGCTCCTCACATTTGTTTTCCTCACCTTAAGGAACACAAGCCCAGCAGCAGAGCTGTTTGACAAACAGCACGCTGACAACATCCTGGCTGCAGCCAATGCCTCCTCAGCACCGAGACCTGTCACCCTACAACACAAGTCCCAGTGGTGCTTCTCAAAACCAGCAGTACATGAACTGTTTGATTTGCCTTGACAAGCCGTGCGTAAATAAAGACATAACCGAACTTTACCCCTTGTTCTTGGCAGATCTGGGTTAGTCTTTCCAGCTGCTCATCTTGAATAACCTTTGCCTTCTCGTATTGCTGAATCATCATCTCCATCTCCACTTTCACTGGAAGGACATACGCTGGAAAACACAAACAACACTTGAAGCAACCCAGCTGTGATTTGGTTTTTTAATCAGAGAGAAAACCTTTACAGGCCAAAGAACATCACCCTTCTCCCTTCCAGAGAACTAGAGTATTTCTAATGGAAACAACACGAGGGTATTCCTTTTCCAGGGAAGGATTTCCACCATGGGAAATGCGGGGTCTAGATCTTGTTTAGTCAGATCTCCCTCTGCCTTGATGAGCTGAAATAGATGCTGGGTGCTCTTCCCAGCTTCTGTGGCACCAACACAGATCTTTCCCAGTGTTTACCACAGATTTCCTGAATTGCTGGGTAGGAGGATTTTCTCTTTAGAGTCAAGACCCATCCGCTCTAAACCTGAACAGCACGGCTCCCTCAGGAAAAGAACTATTCCAGAGCCCTAAGCATTTAATTCCTAGACTTTGCGGTAAGAAATAAATCCTTAATGGAAACACCAGACTAAGAAGGGTAGTTTTAAAAAAACAAAAAAGGCATTTATCTTCTATTGCTTTGCAAGCTACAGACCAGTTTTCAATAGGTCTTCTGAATGCCTCTAGAAATTTTGCTCCTGTCTTAACTATGGCAAACTCAGACTGAACAGAAAAACTGTTCGATACATACTGCAGTCCTTGATGTTTTCTCAAACTACAAAAGACCCCAAACTTTTCTTGTATGCTTCAATCAGAGGGCTACGACCTGGCCTCAACTCTGAATAGAGAGTTTTCTGGGCGTTTAAATCCAAACTAACAACTTGGCATCTGGTGGCAAAGGGAACGAAGCAGGTCAGGGCATTTGGTTTACGGGACAGGGGATGGGATGATGCCTAACAGCAAAACAAACCCCTGGATTATAAAGGCTCCCAGGGAGCAGGAGATACAGGAATGATCTTGGGACCTGCTCTCCTTCATGGGAATCGTGACTCTCTTCTGTTCAGTGCTAGTAAAATGTAAGAGAGGAGAGAATGACAGAAACAGCGGTGGCAAAAAATCTTGCTGTATTTTTAAAATCGCTTGTAATGCCTGGAGTCACCAACTGAGTCACCACTCACCGTCAATGATCCTCTTCACTCTCCATATCCGCAGGGTGATAATTAGGCTGATAGCATCCCAGGGGCTGCTGGGGCCATTGGCCACCGTTGAGGCCACCATTGGTGCCAAGGACAAGATTATGACAGCACCATCAAACACCTAGAGAGAAATCATCACTTTTTTTCCACACCTTTCCTTAGAATGGTATCCCTGCCATTCCTCCTCAGAATCTTGAAGGACTCGCTCTTTGCCCAAAAGAAATGTAATTATGGTACATATTTGGAAGGGATGTGAGAGGTGGCCAAGACACAGACAGGCTGCATCCTGCTTAGGTAGCACAACAGAATTCCTCAGTGCTTTTTACGAGGTGAGGAGAGAGAAACTGTTGTAGCAGGGCAAGGGGAGAGAAAGGTATTTGGAAATACTGGCCAAGATCCCCGAGGAGAAGTGGTAGCCTAAATGCTATTACAGCCAAAGAGTTTTATCATCACTGGTATTTATTATCTGTTACTTGGCATAATGTCATCCAAAAAAAAAAATAAATTTAAGGATGTGGTCCCTGTCCATAGATCTCACTGTCTAAATGAAGAGATCAACAAGACAAGTAGAAAAAGATGGAGCAAAGAGACTTGATGGCTCTCGGCCACGTCCTGACTACACAACACGTGTGCATCTAGACAGAAAGACTGCCTGCTCTCACTTTTATGGGGCAGCGAGGTTTTCAAGGGTTCTGACAACTGGGAGCATTCAGAATGATTTATATGACGTTGGCTACACTGGGATTAGATCAGAAAAAGCAATTGTGCAAAGCATTAGACAGAAATGAGCTAGTAAATACATTTCAGAGCAAACTGGCAATAGAGTTGTGTCTGGCCCACACTGGCCTAGCAGGGTAGGACAGAATACCATGTTCCCATTCCTACTGAGAACCCTTCCCTGCTGCCAAAGACCACTGATTAATGCTTTGCATAAGGAGGCACGACAGAGATTTTTATAAGAATTACGTATTTGGAACTGTGCATAACAATTCAGTGTATTGAAAAGAAACACTCCTTACTGCTGCCACTTGATGGGCAGTAAAGAGTATCACTCTATTCCAAATTATCAAAATGAATTATCAGAAACTGCTGCATTTAGCCTTAATAATAAGAGTCTCTGAATCAACAAACTAAATTTCACTTCAGTTCTTTAGCAAAACAAAGGGTTTACAACTTTATTACAAAAATGTGCAAGCCTCTAGACTTGCTTAAGCTCCAGGAACACCCAGATTTTCTTCTGGTACATCCTGTTCAGTATTAGTTTATCAGACAGTATCAAGGAGGAGGTTTTAATTCTCCTGATCTTCAGATTTGTGCTCAAGATCAGGATTATGTGCTACTTACAACACATGCACTTCCTTATCTGTCTGTGCACATTCTACCTAATTTTTAATTTGAGGTACAAATTACATAATTCAATTTAATAAATAAAAATTATCATAATTCAATTTAATTAAAAGAAATTTCACAATAAAAATGGGGGGGGGGGGGTTGCCAAACCAGTACTTTCTATCAGAAAACCACACACAATTTTTCAACCAGTTCTAATTTCAACTTGATTACGGGAACGGGGATACACAACTCACGTGACAATTTTTACTCCTACTGCTCATTCTCCCAGGGTAGCAGCATCACCAGACCAGCAGAGCTCAGCAACAAAATAAATACACACAAATATTCCTAAAATATTTTCAAGTATCGCACTCTCCCCAAGTCTGCCACAGAAAAAGGGACTCCAACACGCAAACTAGGGATACTCGGATATAATAAGGTGAATGTGGGTATTTATCTGCCTAAAAGATGCTGTATTGCATCAGGTTAATAACAAAGCCACCCAAAGCAGTTCTTCATAGTCTTTACTGGGTCTGCCTGGAAAACAGGAGCAAGAGTGAGAGTTCTTACCTCTATTTTGTTTTCAATGTAATCCCATATGCCAAGGACCACAATCCTCAAAATAGTCTAGTAAAACAGATTAGGGGGAAAAAAAGATGATGAATGTTATAGTAATTTTAGATAAACATTTAAGCCCTTTATCTATTTAGGGAATCATTTTTTGTCTTATTTTAAGCATTATGCATTTCTTATTAATAATAATGAGGCTCTAGAAATAGCTAAATTCATAAAAGCAGGCGTGGTTTTCCAACCACTACATTGTCTCAGTGAAACCTCCACGAACAAGCTCCAAGTTCAAAAGTTCATCAATCTTTCCCATCCTCCTAAAAATTTGCTTTCAGATTTGTGTGATTTAATTTACCAGCCCTCCCCACCCCACCCCCCTGACCCAAGCCTACATAAGATCAACCGTGGGGCCTCCTCAGTTAGAATGGGGAAAGATTCTCTTTTCTGGCCATCTTTGATAGGCCAGTGATTACTTATTTTCTAATAGAAGAGACACTGTCCTCTCCTGATGCCTAAAGACACTGACATGTCATCAGTCTGAAGAGCAGATGCTCTTATCTGGAGTACAGGGCAGTTGTCTTATTGTAAGATCCCAGAAAGTCATCAAATAAGGGAGAAAAGTATCTCTGTGATCCTCCCCTATGAAGCAAAACAGCTCTAAGTAGCCTCAATAGCCAGAAAACAGGAATAAAGAAAGAACACAGAATGAACCAATGGTGAATTCCCATTAAAAAAAATCCAATGGCACCTTTCCTTATTTTTAACCTGGCTTTCAGAAGGCGCAATGAAGGAAAAAAATCAATCAGCCAACTTATGATTGAAATTGAACTCACATTAAAGCATAACTGGTAGGGGATGTTTTCTGCCAACAGCAAGGTCAGATTTCGACAGGCACGACAGACAGGATGAGTCCCCCTGCAGATGTGAGCCTTGCAAAGACACCCAAATGCTACCTTCTCCCACCAAAATGCCACCTTCTCCCTTAAAGAACAGCGTAAGGGGCCTATGTTTGAGGGGTAACCATGGCAAGAACTGTGCAGAAAAAAAGTGACTCTGATGAATACATGTATCTCCTCTTCTTTACAAACACAAATCCCAAGCAACTCTGACTTTATGCCAAATATACCAGCGCTAACTAATAGCAGAACAACACTGAATTTTTCAGTGCCGTTCTGATGAGCGGTTTTGCCGAACCCCACGAGCCCAGTTGCCTCATTTGGCCTGGGATGGCTGTGCTGAGTTCTCTCTCGGCACTCCCAACCTGTGTAACAGCACTTAATCCTGGTTTGCAGATGGAGGCATCACTGTGGCGCTTCCAGAGCCTCCTACCATCAGCGAGCACGAAAATGAACCAGGCAACACTTAATCAGAAATGGTGTATGCAAAAGCACTGGTCAAGTCTGGCTGAGAAACAGAGTCACCAGCCAGAAGAAAAAATGCAGCTCTCCTCTACAAAAAATTATGAGACTCCATGTAGACAGCAAGAACTGCCTCCTAAAAACAATATTTTACTTGCAAAGCAAAAAATACTCAAGTTCAAGTTACCCACGAGCCTGTAACTTTACCTCTATTAGTTAACCAGGGACCCACCACAGCAAGGCAGCCCCAAGGAGACACATGAGGAAAAGCAGAGCCTTTATAAAGCTTGGGATGCCACCCTTCCTACAGCTACCTGCTGAGGGCACAGGGAATTCTGGCTCGATCCCTGCCAGGCTCAGGCAGTGTTTATGAAGTGCTAGGTCAGTGAGCAACTCACTGTTCAGGATGGCTGAACAGTTGTAATACCTTCAAAGAAACTGAGGGTGGAAATCCTTCTTCCTTTGGACAGGTGTGCACAAAGGGATTTTCACTGAAATGAGGCACATCTGCACAAAGGAAACAGAAACACCAACTCACAACCCTAAATATGATTTAATATGGGACTGCTGAGGGAACACAAAATCGGATTTTCCTTTCTGCCTTTTTAATTCCTCACTGCAGCGTTTAAATCAGACCGTGCTACTGTCACACTGCTGAGTCTGAGCAGCTCCGAGGGCTGGAAGCTGGCACCAATATTTTCATTTTCAGTCTGCTGCTGTGAGTCAGCACACGTCAGCAGTGACTGGAAGTCTGCTTGGCAGACATTTAATGCAGGACTGGTTGTTGGTGCTACCTCTCCCAACACATGCCTTGCTGATTAGCGCCTGGGCTCTCAGCTAGAGCAGAAACACTGCAGGAAGGGCAGTGTAAGGGTGCAGTGTATAATAAATAAATACCTCGACTGCAATGAAAACATTGGTATTGCTTATAGACAGCATTTTAGTGGGTTTTTTTGCAAAAGCAATCAAAAATGTGTTTCGAACAAATAAATATATTGCATTTGTTTCTATACTGTCTCTGTACAGAACTTAAAAAAAATGAGAACCTGTAGCAGAATGTGGAAAAAAAAAAAAAAACAGAGACAGAAATTAATAATCCAGGAAACTTCCTGCACACCGTACAAGGACCAAACTGAAAAAAGCGTGTGAATTAAAAGAGAATTGCAACTGTAACATCCATCACAGACAAAACAAAAGTTACTCAAGACTATCATGTGCAGGCACAAGAATCTACGAGAAACAGGGAAAAAAATGAGGCAGCACTGCTGTTTCCTACTGATGTGCAGGCATTTTTCAGCACTGTAGCAAATGCACACACATAGTTTTGCATTGCACTACAGGCATTCTGCATTTTTGAACACATAGATTTGAAAAAAAAAACCCATTAAGTATCAATGTGAGCACTTTTCTGTTAAAGGCCACGGCCAGCTTGGGTTTTTTGTACTTGAAAAAGAAGGCTTTAACATTTTTGGACGGAGAATCTTTTAATTAGAAAGTCCTCAACACACACATTTTTTAGTTGTATCAGAAATGCATTTCTTGGTTTTTGCTAAAAGCTAAATTATGACATAAAAGTCTGTCCAGTGCACTAATAAGAGGTAAATGACTGAACAGTTCCATTAACTTCTTTAAGCTGGAGTAAACCCGGGTAAAATTCTAAACCCTGCCATTTCAGAATTGACAGCGTCTCTTGGTGACACAGCTGTTTGCCTGCCATTGACTGCCTGCAGTGAAGCTGTGCTGAACTGTGAGATGCTGCAGGTTTTCTCCCTAGTTTTGCAGGGAAACTTGGCCAAGTCCTTTGCTGAGCCAGCCGTGTGAATTCCCACAATCTGCATGAGCTAGCTGCATTTCTCAGCTGACTGCACGGTACTTTAGGTAATTTTAAAGTACTTTTCTGCTTGCACAGTTAATACACAATTTACTTCTCAGTGAGTGACTGTGTCAAATTCACCTGTGGAGTGAGGAAATCACAAGGAGGCAGCGCAGGAGGAGAAGCTGGTCCAGCAGGGTCTGGCAAAGGAGAGCAACTCTGCATTTTGAGATGGGGTAGTGATTGTACGAGAGAGAGACAGGATGGAGAAGGGTGGAAAGGATGTCCCTTCCACTGCCACAAAACTAATCTATCTGTTACAGAGGTTCCAGAGACTCTACAGGTTAAACTTCTGCCTTTTGGATATATCTCATAAGACCAAATATTTATTGAAAGCTTTCCCAGAACACCTTGTACCCAATCTGTAATTTATAACCTCCCCTTATTTGGGTCACTCCACAGAGGCCTTAGCTCATCCAGAACTTAAAAGAATCTTCTTCTGCCACCTCCTGGTGTGCCTGTCCTGAGCCACTGCACTGGCTGTCCCAGCACACCCTGCCCCCAGGCCACCAGAGCCCAGGGGGACGCGCTGGCACATTCAAACCAACAGAGTGTTTCTGTTTGCAGGGCACTGGCACCCTCCTCACACAGCTTGTCTTCAATCAGGGCTCTGAAATGAAACGTGGACCTGCTGACCTCACCTCGCCATCAGCCAGCACAAACCATTCCCTGTGCCCTGTACTCTGCAGCTGCTGGGGCTCTACCACACACAAAGAATCCAGTGCCAAGGCTCGGTGGCACCAACAGACACGATCCCAGTCTGTTCTCCCTCACTAACGCCACTAGGATATCAGGCAGTACCCAAATTCACCTTTGCACAAACACTGCAGTTCTCGTTGTTCTTTTGTTCCCCCAAAACGTTCATTCTTCCAATATGAAAAAAAAACCCAGTGAGTTTTCAACTGACAGTTTAGTACAGATGTATTTTCAGGAACAGAAGTGGCTTCCCAGAGGCTCAACACACCACCACAGATGCAGGCTGGGCAGAGAACTGGCCTTGCAACACAAGTTCCCTCAGGGCACAGTCACACCAGCACTGACACCCATCCCTGAAACATGTGGTGTAGGAGGTGCTGCACTGCCACTATCAGGAGATGAAAGCACAGATGAAGCACTGATAGAGCACGCCTTAAGTCAGGTACACCCTTGGAAATGAAATGGGCAGACTAGCCAGATGTCTAGCTAGATTCCTGGAATTCTACAGAACCACTTTCCCCACTAACTATTTTTTTGAGAAGCAAGAGAAGTGGTTGGGAAAGAAATTTCCCAGTATACTAAATATTTATTTATTTTTTTACACACTAGCAAAGAAGGAAGCTTACACTTACCTTTATAAATTACATTAATATATAAAATCTCTATCTTTGTTCCTAGCCCCCACTAATCAATCCATTTAAAAACCAAAACATACACAACCAGCAGTGTAGTGCATTTATGCACCCTGAGAAAAGTTGTGTGTGCATGGAAGAAAAGTAAACATCCAGAAGAGAAGCCACAGTTTACAGAAGAATTATACAGAATTAACAGAAGATTATTATCTTTCTGCTCAGCTCTTTGAAGCTCACAAAAAAGTGTAACAAAAGTAACATAATTGTTTTCTCTACCGGGAACCACATTATTGACTTAGTTCTGTCATTTGGAATGTTTTTCCTTTTTAACAGAACCCTCCCAGCAGGGCCTTCCTTCAGCAGCTTTACTCCTTTCAAGGGTTGCTGTTATCAAGCAGCAAAGTGTTGGGATGCTACAAACACTTCCTTTTATCATACAGAAAGCTTTGGAGTTTTTTCCTCCTAAAACTAAAAAATCTAAAATGCACCTGTGAGCCACAGCTAACGAAACAGACTGTTTATCAGCTGAGACCGCAGACTTTCCTCCATTTGAGAACTGGTTTGTTGGACACAGACGCAGGACAAAAGCCGTGATTCTGTGCTGGCCTAACTTTATTATGAGCACATCAAGACTTGGTTACACCCAGGGAAACGCTCAAGTTGCTGAAAGCAAAGCAGAATGCCTGAGTGCTTGGCTGACTGAAGCACAGACACAGCAATGCAAACAGCTGATACCAAGGAACTCGACTCTTGCACGTGAACAGTCTCACCAATCCGAGTGGAAAAGCAGAACTCAACAACAGCTACAGAATCACGGACTTGTGGCGATGGGATAAGACTATTAAAACACAAGCAGACTCCAATCCACTTACCAAAAGACTGGGACATTCCCCATCTTCCTTTTCTCAGCCAACTATTACCAAGGCTGAATTTGCCCTCGCTGTTGATACTGGGATTTCCCCCCCAGTGTCTTTCTCTTCTCTTCTGTCTTAACATCTGGGTAACATTTGGTGCACAGACAAATCATAGTGATGTATGTAAACAGAGACAAACATACACAATCATCACCACCAGTAAATCCTGTTCAAATACTCGGAAGAAAGCAAACAGAGCTGATGTGCACTTCACTTGAATAAGGATATTTTAATGCTGGGAAGTCCCAGACAGTGACAGGGAAAATAAAATTACCAGAGTGCCTTTAAGGCTTGTGGCTGTAACACAAGCATAGGGAGAGCAGGAAGATGCTGTGAAAGTAGCTACTCCATTTTTTTTGGCAGCTGTTCTGGTGGCATTTGCCAGCTGTTGGCATGTTTATGCCCTTCATTTTAACCAAGCAGAAAGGCAGGGCCTGTTTAACTCCAGCACGATTGGAATGCAATTACTTGCAATACTTTGAGAGCACCACCTTCAACCAGTCTCATTCTTCCAAAACACTCAGATTTTGTGCTGAAAGTTTGCTGGGTTTTAACAAGTCTTTTACAACTTTGTATTGTTTGTTCTCTGAAGAACTGTGTACCCACACTTCCAGCTAATGGGAACTAAAGCACAGAATAAACAATAAACATCCAAACTTAGGACATGGTACTTGCTACAGAAATAACCTTTTCTGAACACCAGGAACCCTGAATCCTCCCTTTGAGGAAAAAAAAACACTGACTGAAGGACTAACCAATCCCCAGCAGTTGCCTGTAATATCCAGGCAAACTAATTCAACTTGCTCATCTCTGGAAAATCATCCTGGCATGAACAGTCACAGACTGCAAAACCTCACTGTAACACGTGATCTTCTCAAAAAATGATCCCAAAGGCAGCTGACTTTGCTAGGGGAATCAGAGAGAAAAAAAATCCACTGCAGGGACTAAGGAAGCAAATAAAAATAAGGTGGATGGGGGGAAAAAGGTGACTTCCATTTTTTGCAGTATTTTGTAACCTCTTGGGGAAAAAAAAAAAGTTTTTTTTATTTGGATGACAGAAAATTAAACCTCTGTTTTCCCTCTCCTGAGACACAATTCAACATCAACAGATGTGGTATTTCTTAAACCAACCTGGCACAAGGCCAACCCCAGCAAACCCAGTAGGAAAGGTACATCTGAGCTACCTTCCAGACTGGTGGTCTCTGAAGCACATCCAGTTGCCAGTGGAGCCACCTCTGTTGTTTTAACCCAGGACTCTGAGCCACAAAATGAACCCATCTCCAAAAATCCACCCTCCTCTGTTCACCTCAATGGCTGCCTTGTGGCCTCCTTTTAATTCGGTCTAAATTCAAACCATAATCAAATAGGTGAAGGAAGATACTTTGGAAGACAGAAACAGATAATGAAGTGAGTGATAAGAGGTTTATAATAAGTGAGAACAGCAAGTAGGCAAAGCAGTTCCAAACACCTAATGGAGAGAGGAGAAAAGCCAACCCAGATCCAAAGTGAGGATGGTGAGTCAGGGAACCTGTTTTGGCTCTGTCAAGTATCTCTGTTACTGTTTTCCTGTAAAATACTTTGGAACCACTTCATCCACTTGGAAGGGTACTCTGTCTCAGCAGAACTGAAACAACTAATCCAGGCCTTGAGGATCTGCCCACACTGCCACAAACAGGCAAGCAACAGCTGAGCTCTGGAAGGGACTCGGGAGCAGAGTGGTTGGTGGTGCGAGCGAACGAAAACAGAACTTGAGACTGCAGGGCAAGGGAATTGAGGATCCCAGGAGAAGCTTTTGGTGAAAGCAGCTCCAGAAAGCAAAGGAAAGCAGGTGAGTGTGGTTGTGCAGCCCTGCTCTGGCAGCAGTTACAAGCTGAACCCATTGGAAAAGCTCAGGATTACAGGGAGCTCCAGGGTGCTAATTCTGGGGGAGAGAGGGAAGTATTTCTTTGCAGGGAATGGACACCACCTAACAAACCTGAGTCTCTGGGAATTAGGATGGGCAACTCACAGTGGAAAAACTGCAGAAAACTGTAATTGTTTAGAGATTATTTTCAGACAGTTTACATGGAACCTACAACCCACGATCACCATCGAAGGGTGGGGACAGTAATGGCACCTATTTGTGCAACCGCAGCACCAGAAGGCTCAGATGAAGAGCAGAGACCCCTGCCTGCTATCAAACAGTCCTTTCAGAAAGCACCCACTGACAACACCAGCTAAAAAAAAAAAAAACAACCCTGGGTAGAAATGCAAGGATATATGTAAATAAATGTATTTCATTAGGAGCACCGTGGAAATAAGCAATGTATGAATTCAACACAAGTGATCCAACAAATCATTTGCAGATATCACAGATATCATATTTTTGGGGGTTTTCTTTTGTAATCTTCATATAAATTTACCATACAATGAAGACTTTAATATCTGTCTGAATTATAATATTTTCTCCTATGGAACTAGAAAAAATATTTAAAAATATTTAAGTCCAAGCTGTCTTCCAACTTAACAGACATAAAACTTGTTTTTGTGACAAGTAACATACGATGACCTGAAAAATAGCCATAAAAGCATTTTGGAGTATTTCAGGAGCAGTCTAAAAGTCTCAATACCAATGACTTCTTTTTGGAATAAAGTTGAAAACTCTAACAGATCATCCCAGTTTGGTCATTTGTTCCATCATGACTACAGCCTTTTCCAACACATACATTCACAGACATTTTGGCCAAGAAATTCACCATTTGTTTCATTCTCTTACTGGGTCTATATGCAGCAACCTGGAACATCTAAACTACCTAGACAGATCGTGAGAGGAGATAATGCCATTCTCAAAACAGATCTGTTTGTAAAAAAATCCCAAGGATCTTTATTCTTGAAGAACTTGTTTTAATGCTACGCTGATCACAAATGGATGAACCTGGTCCTGTCCAGTGCCTGTAGTGATTCTGAGATAATGATTTCTTTCTGCAGCTTTCCAATTGTAATTTGTAAGACAGTATCTTCCACATTTCCTTCCCAATTCTAGGCAAGTGACAAACAGTGCTAATCTACGCTGCATTTTTTAGTTTGGTGAGTAGGAGCACCAACAGTAATTTTTTTTTTTTCCTTAAAATACACCATGCTACATTTATTTACAGTCAAACTACCGCTAAAACTCTTGCTAATTCCAGTGACAACATAAAAATACTTTGAAGTTCTGTTATGTGGTGAAAGACTTTGGTTATACATACCTCTGAAAAGAAAACAGAGAGGATGACTAGGCTGATCCAGTGAATTACTCCTGCAAACTGTGAAGCACTTGAAACTGCAATTAACATAATACAAGGAAGGGTCATTATAGTAGCAAAGTGCAACGTAGGTTTAATAGAATTAGAAATGCCACAACTTACACATGGTTAAGTTTGCTTTCTTAAATTTGTAATGGAAGTACCAGAGGGAGGATGGGATGCAATGGGAATGGAACTCCAGCCCTGCCAGCTGCTCACCCTAATTCAGGCAGCTCGTTGGCAGCTGCAGCAGCTCTTCACTGGAGCATTTACAGGTAACTCTGCTGGTAAGCAATGACATACTCAGGTCTTGGATGCTCTGTCACCTCTCCATGCTCTCACCCCCGTGCGCTGCTTTAGCTCGGGATGTGTGACTAAATCCCACACACCTAAAAATCCAGAGTTAGGATTCAGTAAGGAAACAGAACGCTCTACCATCCCCACATCACTCCTCGTCTTTGACAATTCAGCTCAGATGATCAGTCTTTGTCTGGAACAGGTGCTTACAAACTACTGCTCAGAATGGGCTCCAAATACATTTCATGCCAACAGAAAGCTGCCAGGGTCCAGCGTCTGAACTGCTGGCAACTCCCGCTCTCAAGTTTGGAATAAGGGAATGAAAGAGAAAACATCCTCTCCTTATTTCAGGGTATTTGTGAGCCTGCCATTTCCACAGCTCAGACAAACCCAGCCTGTGTGCTCTGCAGTGCCAAAGAGTGACCGTCTAACAGCCCAGTGTCAGGCGGTCGATGGCTGCGTGCACAGAGGTGCCAGGTTGTGTGTCCCAACAACGTACAGGGGGCACACCAAACAAAGCATTTTATTTCTCAATCAGAATCGATTCAAATGGGAAGCAGAGGAGAGGGATGTAGGAAGAAATCAGGATACAAATAAAACTGTGAGTATGGGCTGCCACTGGAACTCGCTCTTCTGGTTCTTGATGGGAGAGCGTTTGCTGTGGTGCAGCACAGCAACTACCTGATGAAATAAATGGGCAAAATATAATATATTTAACTTTATCAAGGCAGCCTACAGAACCAGAAAAGGAAAATCACTTGGATGCTGTTTTTTCCAGCAGTGTCGATTGACCTACAAGGCTCCAGCTGCCCCCCAGTGGAAAAGAAAGATAGAGCAACCAGAATTTGGGGAGAAAAGCCATTTCTGCTGCCTCACTAACTGAGCACTAGCTGTGCTGTATGCCCTGCCAGACAGGGAGCAATTAAATTGCCAGGAAAACGGTAAACTTGAAAAAGCCTTCCAAACAAGCAGCTTTTGTACAGGAGTTGAGTCAGCAGCCCATACACTGAATATTTGCCTCTTCCAAAACACTCCCTTTAAAAAAAAAAACACAGAAGGGGCTTCAAGAGGTGCCCATCCCTGCTCTGTGGGATTCAGTTTGAGGCAAAGCACCTAAACTACTCAGCTTTTACTTTAATCTGGAACAGAGTCTCACATTTGTTGAACTTCCAACTTTTTTTTTATCCCTAAAAGCCAAAAAGTTTCGCTTTGCTTCACATTTTTCTTGTCTGGTGCTACAGGGGGAGAAGCGAATGCAAATCCAGGTGCTTTTTAGTCATGAAGAAGGATAACAAATAAATCAGTATAAAATGCACAGGCAAACTCAGTTCACCTCCTCCCCCCTTTCCCTCACTTTCACTTCTCCTCAAAATGTATATCCAGGGGGGAGGGATGAAGGATATATCCTGACAAACCCTAAGTGACCATTACAGAAGCCTTTACTATCAGCACCTGGCTGTTCCTGACGGTGGTTTCCTGGCAGACACCTCAAAAAGCTGATTATAGGACAGAGACTTATAATAAATAAGCCTTATTATGTGTCCCCTGCTTTCTGGGATTTCCAATTCTGGTATGAATATGCTTTGTGATAAAATACCCTAAAAGGTCTCTGTACTTTCCATGGGTGTGACCCCCAGTTTGCAAACGTGGTGTCCATCTCCAAAACCAGCAGCTTTGTGCACTGTGCAAACAAAGACTGCACTGAAACTACGGAGGGAAATGATGCTCTAAAAATGTCACAGCTAAAGAAAACACCAGGGTTTCTTCTGCTGCATTTTTTTTTTTAAATAAAGGGAGGCTTCCTAAGTGATTACAGTCTATAATGTGGATTAGCTGTTGTTATTACAAATAAAATCAGCAGTGATGTGCTGTGACATACCCTAATGCACTGGTTGGTTTTATATTAGGATAAGGAATCCTCTAAAACTGTAATTACATTTTTGAAAAACGTAATTATGGGCTAATGGCTTTTCAAAAGCGACACCCATTCCTCCTAAGGCACAATAACTGCAATACTTCAGCCCCACCGAGACAGCCTTTCTGTGATTTAAAACAAGGTAGAAGGTAATTCAAACAAGGCAAAGACAAAAGGCCTGATGGGATGATTCATCAGTTAAAATGTAAAGTTGCAACACAAGTGGAATGAGGCCTTTCTCAGGTGCTGAGAAAATCCACCCAGGCAGGGGCCACCTCTGAACAGGGAAGTCACCTGGGACAGCTCGTGCACAAGGTGTAAGCTGCAGAGCTTTGAGGAGTGTCACGTGCACCAGACACACAGAGGAGGAACGATTCCTAAAATAAAGCCTTCTTTGGAAACTTCTTCAGAAAATAAATGGCAAGAAAATGGGAGCTTCCAGAGGAGAGTGTCCAAAACTGTTCAAACTCTACGAGAAATCAACAAAAACAATTTCGAATCTCTCTGGCTCTACAAGGGAGTGACAATTCCCCACATCAACAGAAAGATGTGACACCTCAATAAACAGTGAAAGCTTCTTCCTCATTCATTTCTTAAGGACTTACACCCTTAATTAGCACTCCTGACTTTTTTGGAAGCAGAGGACTTGTCCAAATGCTGGGCTCCCTCATCCAAAACGGGAAGTGACCAGAGACTGCAGAAAATAACGACTGGAACGGAGTGGCCGTGTCAGAACAGCGTGTGCAGCGTGGACAGACAGGTGTCAATGGTGAGCCACAGTGTGGGGTGACAGCTCAGCCATTCGCTCCTCTCACAGAGTGTATGAAACGGCTGCAATTATCAACAAAGTCCCCTCAAGTAACCTTAATACAACAGCAACACCTAAATCTTTGCTCCACCACAACCAATTGACAAATCACAACGGTAAAAGGAGAATAAAAATTTGTTTTGCTCAGTTTGAAGTTGCCACAGGAGCTTTTGTGCTACGTATTCTTGCATTCCTGGGATTGTCTGAACCCCAACTGCCATTTCAGCACACCTGAGATTGAATGGAGATGTGAGAGGCTGCTCCTCAACATTTAGCAGAGGGAAAAGCGTAGCTGGTATTTGTGTTCATGTCAACTTTGTGTCATAAAAGAAAAAAAAAAGGAAAAAAAAAAAAAAAGAAAAAAAGGGGTGGAATGGAGGAAAAGAGCAGAAGGGGGAAAAAGAAGATGGATTAGGAAGCAAAACAGAAGCATTAAAATTTTCCACTGTGGAACCTGCGTAGAGTGAACTCAGATAAAGCAAAACTCCATTGAAGCTGTTGTTTGACTCACAGTGTCTCAGCAAAGTAGAATGAAAATCTCTATCATTTCAGTGCATTACAAGCTAGAAAACTGTAATTTCGATTCCTATCCACCTCAGCAGAAGTAAGTTAATAATAGAGGTAGCATCAAATCCCCTGCTATGTTCATCACTTCTGTCTATCTACATGTGATAAACATCAGAGATTAATGAGGCACAGATTTTTTTCTGTGCACATGTAGCATGTCTGTAAAGCACAGACCTTTTCAAGCACTCAGGACAGCACATGTGAATCTCTGCATGTACACTCTGCTTGTATCCCTTGAAAATTTGTCCTATACTGAATTTGGTCAGCAAAATAAGGAAGAGACTGACTTCACTGTACCAGGGTTCCACAAAAACACATTTCTTACCTAGCCTAGTAATCATTTAAATGGCAGGAAAAAAAATCCCCACCATCCTCCCCCCCTTCAAAAACCTCCCAGCAAGTTAAGCCTTTATTTTATCAAAATTAAAAAAAAAAAAAAAAAAAAAAAAAAAAAAAAAAAAAAAAAAAAAAAAAAAAAAAAAAAAAAAAAAAAAAAAAAAAAAAAAAAAAAAAAAAAAAAAAAAAAAAAAAAAAAAAAAAAAAAAAAAAAAGAAAAAGAAAAAAAAATCCTCCTACTCACACTGGAGAAGCTTTATATCTATTAGGAGTTCCAGAGTCAGAAGAATCACCACCAATACTACACAGGCTACCAGGAAACTGTTGAGACTTGCACTGAGCAAAAATACCTGCCACACAGCTGCTCGTCTCCCACAGCACGGCTTTAGCCAGTTAGATCTAAAGAAATAAAATGAAGGGAAAAAACAAGAAAAGGAAAGAAAAGAAGAAGAAGAAGAAGAAGTGAAAAAGGAAAAGAGCTAAAGAGCAGTGAACTCAAAATCACAAGTTCTGCTGTTATGGGTACACTCAGCAACAACGCACAAAGACTTTGCAAAATTCGCTTTGGCTGCTTTCCTGACCAGGAAGAACACAAATTTCTGCTTTCTCCCTGTCTGCCCCGTTCTCATCTGCTCTCAGAGGGACAGACATGCTGCATTCCCTTATCCCTGAGCACCAGGGCACAGCAGGGCTCTGCTGTTTACAAGCTAATGATGTTTTTAACAAGAATTTCTCTGCTGTTGAACGTTATGGTCGCTCCCCTTTATCCCTGCTCTAGTTTGACACGCATCTGACAAGGGCTGCCAAATTTGGGTTGCAACAATCAGTCTGCAACAATCAAACATCATGAAAAAGAGCAGTAGGAATCTGGAAAACACCAAAGAATGATTCCACAGCTACACTCGCAGGAGCAAAGGCACACACCTGGCTAAGTGTCAAGCTCTCTCACTTGGCTATTTGTCTAACAACTCTCACCAATTTGTTTGTGGATTAGGCAGAAAATTACTTTGCTGGAGTTTGGGGTAACACAGTTTTGGGGACAACACGCACCATGGACTGCTCCCAAAGCTGGTTTGGATG